GGGGAGGAACAGGAAAAAACCAACCTCCTGCCCAAGCTCTGCCATCAAGGTGCCATCAATTTACCAGAGGGTGAGGCTTGAGGGTCTTCACAGCAAGGCATCCCAAAACCTCTCAAGGATGAACTGCATGCCAGTGAGGCAATGTGACCCAGAGAGAAAAAGGCAACATGGGTCCTGGGAAAAGCAGAGATGGACAAACGACCTGGTGAGTGAGAGCTCCTCAAAGTTGGGACCAAAAGGGATTATTAAACACCCCACCTACCAGCGCTCCTGGGACCATGAAGACAGACAACAGACCATGGACTAAGAGTTGTAGGGACTTCTGGGGGAGGAGCACGTCAGCCCAGGGGGCAAGAAATTAATAAATATCCTTCCCTGCACTCCTGGGAAAGGAAATGCTTAGAATGACAAACACAGAAACAGGATGTGGACTGAGAGTTCACCAATGGACCTAGATAATTGTGAAATTATAAGAATTTATGGAAAATGTGCTATTTGAACTTTCTGGGTGAATTAGATGGCAGTCGAATGAAAGCACCTTCTAGAACTTGGGAGGCAACACTGGTGTGTATCCATAACCGGCATGTGGACACCATATATGCTGGATGCCCACCCAACACTTGATTCCACACAAACACATCACTTCCAGCTGGAAGACTGGAACGAATTGTGGAGAAAAAACAGATGATCCAGGCCCTACAAACTTCTCTGGAACAACCCTACATCTGTGTACTCTAGGTCACTCCCAGGGATAAGCTCATTTAATTATAAACCTGACTTGCCATATGACCTACAGACCCAAGGAGCCAAGCCATGACCACATCAATAAAAGGTAAGCCTAATTTATCTGTCTACAATACGAGGACACCACTTAAGACTGTGAAAGCCTAGGGATTCCTAAGTGGCTCAGCTGGTTAAACATCCAACTTCAGCTCAGGTCGATCTCGTGGTTTGTGAGTTCAAGCCCCACATCAGGCTCTCTGCTGCCAGTACAGCTTTGGGTCCTCTGTCCCCCCTCCCCGTCCCGCCTCAGCTTGAGTGAGCTTTCTCTCTCTCTCAAAAATAAATAAACATTAAAAAAAAAAAAAAAAGACTGCGAAAGCCTAGAAGGGAATCCTTAGATCTTCACAGACCCATGGCAGCTTTAGCCTAGAGGAGAAAAGGAGGTTACCCTATGGCAAGCATGACTGGCTGAGAGAAGACTGCAATGAAGTTCAGAAGAACTGTGTGGCAAGGTAAGAACAAAACTTAGGACTGGTTGTGTGAACTGGGAAACCTTGTATTAGTCCTCACCTTGCTTATCTTTGTACTTTGCTCTGTCCACTAGGAAAGTCAGTATTTCCTGCCTCTAACCACATGCATCTCCATTTAGTGTCTCTTACAGAGACAGTGAAGGACTGCAGGCTTTGAAAGACACTTCCATAACTAAGATAATATCTGGTACAATGTACATTTTTGTATATTCACAGAAAAAAATAATACAATAAAATAATCAGCATCTCTTATTGAAGACACTGTTATTCCTCTGTTTAACATTGTTCTGGAGATACTAATCAATGCAATTAGATAAGATAAACATTTAGAGGCATAACCATTGGAAAAGAAAGGATTGAAATCTCTACAGGTGACACAATAGTATATCTGAGCCTAAAGGAAGCAATGATAAAAGTAACTCAAACAATAAGACTTTAGCAAAGTAGCAGGAAAACATGCAGAAATCATCACTATTCATTTACATGAATAATAACCAATTAGAAGATATAATGTATAAGAAAATTCTATTTATAATGGCAACAACAACAAAAGATAAAACACTTAGGAATAAACTCTACAAGAAATGTTCAAAACTTATACGAAGAAAACTATAGACCTCTCCCCAAAGACACAAAAGTTGATTTAAGAAAATGAAAAAACATTGCTTGTTCTAGGTTAAGATGTCTCCAACACCATCAAGAAATCAGTTCTAAGTTAAATCATAAGTTTAATGCAATCTCAATAAAAATAGCAATGATCTTTTTTTTTTTTTTTTTAAACGTTTATTATTTTTGGGACAGAGAGAGACAGAGCATGAACGGGGGAGGGGCAGAGAGAGAGGGAGACACAGAATCGGAAACAGGCTCCAGGCTCCGAGCCATCAGCCCAGAGCCTGACGCGGGGCTCGAACTCACGGAGTGCGAGATCGTGACCTGGCTGAAGTCGGGCGCTTAACGGACTGCGCCACCCAGGCGCCCCGCAATGATCTTTTTAATGAATGGACTTAGAAAAATTGACACCGAAGTGCATATGGAAAAATAAAACACGCAAGAATAGCAAGGACGACACAGAAGAGGACAAGTTATAATGGGGCATAGACCTACCAGATATTAAATCATATACAACACCCCCATGATTAAACCAGTATGGTACTGGTGCATAAACAGTTCAACAGAGTAAAATACACCCAACTCCATAAAAATTCTAGTATATGACAAAGGGAGCCAAGATTTTTAAAAACTAAATGGCACTGGGACAACTAGAGAGCCATGTAGAAAATGATAACATTATACCCATTCCTCACACCATAAACGTAAATGTACTCCAAATGGGTCAGGAAACTAAATGCGGAAAATGAAACTATAAGAATACTGGAAGGCGGCATGGGTGAATTCCTCTATAACCTGACGATAAGGAATGACTCTCTAATGATGATGAAAAACTCAGATACAAAAAATTTAAGATTAATATATTTAACTACACAAGAACAGACTTTCACACGTCCAAAAAACCCTGTAAGCAATGCCAAAGATGAGTGGGCAAAGTATCTGCAACATACATCAAAGTTACATGGTTAACAATCTTTTTTTGCTTTTAATTTTTTTAATATTTATTTTTGAGAGAGTGTGCGAGCACGAGTGAGCAGGGGAGGGGCAGAGGGAGAAGGAGATACAGAATGTGAAGCGAGCTCCAGGCTTTTAGCTGTCAGCACAGAGCCCGACATGGGCGTGAACCCACGAACCACAAGATCATGACCTAAGCCAAAGTCGATGATTAACCGACTGAGCCACCCAGGTGCCCCTAAATGGTTAACATTCTTAAAGAGAACTTTTAAAACCTGAGGGAAAAAGACCAAAAATTATTTAAAAAGTAGTTAAATAACATGAACATTTAATTTTTAAATGTAAAAAAAATGACCCTTTAATGTACAAAAAATGTTCAATTTACAAATTAAAACTATACTGAGATACCATTTCTCACCTATTAGATTGGCAGAAATTCAAAAACTTGACAATGTAGTCCATTGAGGCTGTGGAACTTACACATTGCTGGAAGGTATTCAAAATAGTAGAGTTCCATTAAGAAGAGGAATTTGTCAATACCTAACAAATCTTATATATGCATTTATCCTGAATATTTACCTCCAACAATACAAAGACACACATATGTAAAGATTTTCATTATAACATCATTTATAACTGAAAAATATTGGAAATTACTTAAATGTCCAAGTACAGGACATAGGTTGAATACGCCATGGAATATTCTGCAGTTAAGAAAAAAAAGGTAATTTGTTTTAATTTATGTGTATTATTTTTTTCAAATAGCTACTAAATCTTTAGGACATAAATAATTATTAAATTGTCTGGGCCTATTTAATAAACTGTTAGGTGTTTCTTTTGACCTAGGGATGCTGTGAAAAAATTATTGATATGACAAGGATGTCATGAACTAAAGATTCTGATAAAGGCCTGTGAAGGCTTTTTGTTGTTGTTGTTAATGTTTATTTTTGAAAGAGACAGAGAGAGACAGAGTGTGAGCAGGGGAGGGGCAGAGAGAGAAGGAGAGACAGTCTCTGAAGCAGGCTCCAGGCTTTGAGCTGTCAGCACAGAGCCTGATGTGGGGCTTGGACTCACGAGCTGTGAGATGATGACCTGAGCCAAAGTCAGATGCTTAACCTACGGAGCCACCCAGGTGCTCCTTGTGAAGGCTTTTAAGAGTGTATTTATGTATGTACCTATGAGGTTACTATGGACTGTGATCAACAAAATTTACAATAGACTAATGAAGGCACTGTCCATAGTGGTAAGTGCTATGTTAGATTTTACGGCAGCACATAATAGGAGGAACCAGCCCAGTCTTGAAAGTTCCTGGGGTTCTTATTTGATTGGTTGGTTGGTTGGTTTCCTGTTTGAGGGATGAGATCAAGAGAAAGAATCTAATCAAGATACTAACCTGAGTGCTGGAAGATAAGCAGGCATTACTAAATTGGAATAAGGAGGAATGGCTAGAACTAACTACGGAAGAGGAAATGGAGGACTAGGAAAACGCTAGCATTCTAGAAGCCTGGTATTGCTGGAACAGAATACCCTGCAAGAGAAGAGATGAGGCTAGAGAGTTAAGTAAGGAGTAGGTCTTGAGAATTTTTTATATGAGACTTAGGGATAAAAGGAGTTTGGATTTTGTTAATGGGCAAGAAAGAGCTGAGAAAGGGCTTAAAGTAGGGGAGTGTCATAACTGATCTAACCAAGTGTGGAGAAAAGATGGAGGTGGGGTGGCACCAAGAGGCTAACAGGCTGCTGCAGTAATCCAGAACGGACCTAGACAGGGCAGCTGAACTAAAGCATTTGCAATCAGTAGTGGGCAACCTCCATTTTCAATCAGTTACTATGCCAGCTACTCAACTGCATTAGAAAGCAGGGATCCTGTGGCTTAGATGACTACAATCGTGACCTTTGTTGAAACCGGGGATCTTTGCCCACCCTTCACAATGCATCTGGGAGTAGAAGTCATTTCATAATCTTACTATGTCTTATTCTCCAACACAACATTGTCAAACCCTGACCTTTAGTTTCAATAAGTGAATTTGGCAACCCAACTTGGACCTCAGATTTCAAAGAGATTGCGTGTGTCACAATTCTAACTGTGAATTCTAACTGTGAAGGCTTTTAAGAATAATATCACAATATTTTATGTCAGCTTGCTGATTTTGGCTTGCACAGACTACAATCTTGATGTTGAGCAACTATACCTTTGGGTATAATTACATCAGAGATTTAAATTCTCTTCTAAAGTGTATTCCCATGACTCTTAAAACTCATGGAGCTTTAATTTCATTTTTTCTATATGGTAGCCAAATCCTTATGAGTGTCATAAGGTAGTAAAAAAGGTGTCTTAGATGTAAAGAAAAAAAGAAAAACTATTACTAATGGGGACTGATGAGCCATATTTTACTTAGAGCTACATACTTTTTTTTTTTAAACCAAGAGATGAACACATCCTTGAAATCAAGCCCATTAAAAGTGCATCTTTTGAGGGGCGCCTGGGTGGCTCAGTCGGTTAAGCGTCCGACTTCGGCTCAGGTCATGATCTCGCGGTCTGTGGGTTCGAGCCCCGCGTCGGGCTCTGTGCTGACAGCTCAGAGCCTGGAGTCTGTTTCAGATTCTGTGTCTCCCTCTTTCTCTGACCCTCCCCTGTTCATGCTCCCTCTCTCTGTCTCAAAAATAAATAAATGTTAAAAAAAAAAAATTTTTTTTTTAAAAAGTGCATTTTTTGAAAGGAAAAAAAAAAATGCACAGGCTGGGAAAGGGTGAATAGCAAGTAGACCCTTACAAGTTCTGCCACCTTTAAGCCTCACACTAAACCCAAAGAGAAAACGATATATGGTCCGAAATGGTAAAAACAGACCCAAGACAACCCTGCCTCTTTTACCATTCTTCCCAATTCCCCTACAACCTCCCCCACCCCCACCTCCTTTAATGAAAGAACTGAAAAACAAGATTTCAGGAAAGGTCACTACAAAATAGGTTTTCCATAGTCCTCTCAAGTAGGGGTTATTCAGGTACTTCAGAGGTAAAAAAGCGGTATCAACACCACTGTTGAGTTCCTAATACTCTACTCCTCCAGGGCACCTATCCGAACAATATCCAACCATTTTTTTATCATGGCATACACAGCAGATGAGAACACTGTATTTGCAGGCACGTTGGAAATAAACAGTGGTAACCCCAGGACCCACTGGAAGGCCAAGAGTGCTGAAGGGCCCATTATCTTCACATTCCTGAAGCTCAGCTCAATCAGAATCTTGTTTTTCCTCAGCCTTTTAGGATTAATTGCAATATGCAATGCTCTCAGAATTCATTACTTTCAAATCCAGATTCTAATAATTACCAGCTACTAGCCTCCAGCCAGTAATAACTTCACTTAGTAAAGTACGGCAAAACTGCCTATCTTACAGAGGTACTGTGGAGATTTAAAAATAATATAACTAAAGCTCTTATCATAGCGCTTGGCAGGCAATCAATGTATACGGATTTATTACCAAGAGGGTTGTTGAATTAAAATAGAAAAATCTGACCTCTGTATAGTGGTGATGTTTCGGAGATAAGAAACTGCAGGCTTCCCTCACCTTAGTGTCTGAGAGTTAAAACATTTTATAAAACAATAAAAACCATAAACTGTCTCCCTACTTCTTCCAAATCATAATCTTTTCCCTCCTTAAAAATATATATCATTGTATTCTAAAAGTGACTGTCCTTGCCCTCCATCCACTAAGGATTACAAGTGTGTATAACACTGATACACATACAAGAAGTGATTCTGGTACGTTTATGTTCTGCAGAAGCTGAGCTGGAAAACCAGTGCAGGACTGCCACCAGACAATTGGAGGGGAAAGAAGATATCAGCACTTTTTTTTTTTTTTTTTGGACCTCCCTAAAGTGAAAATAACCCTACCCTCTAGAGACAAAAACTCCCCCCATAAACAAATGTAGACAAGATTCTTCCCTATAAGTAGGCCCTTTCTCCCTGAGAGCCCTGCAAAGAAGTGTTGTATGAACTACTTCAAAATAAGTGATACAGATGACTGCACATTCAGCAGTCACACTAGAGAACACCTGGATCTCTGAAAAGAAATGTGGAAGTGCCTACTGGTAAATCATGCCAAGGTCATACCAGGATGTCAGAGGATTTCATGTACCCATGGGAGAAATAAGCCACTGTAACCAATTCCGTGACGTACCATGTTTTCCCAACAGTGGTGACTCCCGATTTCCTCTTTCTGATTAAGACAGGGAACAGTTATCAACTCCAAACATAAACTTACTATCACTAGAAAATCTCTTAATAACTCTGGATAAACATGCTTAAGTAGTAAGTATTTAAGACTGGAATACAACAAGTTATTATAATGCCTAATCACAATACCCCAAATATAATTTTAACCTTTCAGGGGAGGACAGTTTTGGAAGGACAGCAAAGGATTCTTCTTGAATCGTCCTTTAACCCTGCTAAAAAAACACTAAGACAAAGCAAAGTCTGTATATGCCAAGAAACTGGAACACAAACAAAAACCCCAACAAAATAAATGTTTCCTGAGGCAACAACTGTGGGATCACCTACACATTCATTCATTCAGTGGAAATACGGGAATAACTTCTTTGTTCCAGGGACATAGCATGGGAACACATGGATGCATAAGACATGGTTCCTGCCCTGAAAAAATTCAAAGTCTAAAAATAATGTCTGAAGAATCACAAGTCATTTTATAGTAATATTGTATTAATAGAGACAGACCCACATAAACAAGTAAGATACATTTAAATACATTAAAAAAGAAGCTAAAAAAAAGCCTTCTGCGAGTTTACTAACAAATTTTGTTATCCGAGTTTGGGAACACGATTAAAGTTGTACTGTACTTTCACGACAAGAATTAACTTATGACACACGTTTTATAAAGCTCCCCCTCCCCCAACCAAACACAATTTGTAAATTGGGTGCTTTTCAGCTTGACACGTAGGGCGTGGCACTGGAGTTCTCACACAACCCTAAAGACACTTGGATAAGCTCTCACAAGTCTGGACGTTCAGGTTTCCCAGCAAAGGCCAGTTAACTCCCTAATTCTCCTTCAACCTTGAAACAACACTGCCACCTCTCTGTGCTGTCATCCCTGCCCACTTACACATATATACCCAGCCTAAAGCATACAAATCACATCTTCCACTCCTGGAAAACCTTAAGGAACGAACCACGAAGGAAACACCCCCTCGCTCAACATCTATATTCTCTTCTTCGTTTTAGAGGCTGGATTACCCTAATATGGGTAAACCAGTGCAGTTCAATGCGGAGCATCTAATGACTTCAGTCTGAAAAAGCCATTCCTTAGACTGGCACAAAACCTTGGCGGAGATGCTTAAAAAGCAACTGCTCTGGTACAGGCGAGGACTGGAAGAAAGGGAAGGAGGGGAGAGGGGCGGAGTGAGGCGCGGGGACTGCGGCGGTGGCAATGGGTCCCCCCAGGTCGCGGGCACCGCCCAGGCGGGGACCTCGGCGCGGCGGGCCAGAGATGCGGGGTGACCTTCCGACGAGGCCAACTCAAGGAGGTGCTGGGCTCGGAGGACCGCGCCGCAGCCGCCGGCTCTCGGGCGTGCAGTCGCCCGCACAGCAGCGAACACCGCGCCCCGGATTCCAGCCTGGGCTCGTCCCCGGGCAGAACGCGGCACTTGCAATCTCCGCGTCCGGGCCCTGAGCCTCGGCCTCGGCCCGCCGCCGCCCGGACACACCCCCGCCGCCGCCGCCCCAGCGGCCCCAACCTCTCCTGGGGCGGCCCGGGCAGGCATCGCTCACCTGCACCGCAAGCCGGTCTGCCGCCCCGCGGGCTCCGGAAGCCGCGACTGAGCTGGCTTCGGCCGGAGAGAGCTCAGCCCTGGTCGTCTGGGAGGTTCCCCGCCGCGAGAGGCAGAAGGACGAGTCCGACGGGCGGCGGCGGAGCCTGGGCGGCAGGAGGAGGAGGAGGACTAGGGGCGCTCCGCTCTCCAGAGATCCACCCTCCTCCTGGCCGCTCTGCAGCAGCCGCCGCAGATCACTTCCGGGGCGCTGGGAAGCGGGGCGGGGCCGGCTGGGGAGTAACTTCCTGTTCGCGAGCGGAGAAGGGGGTGTTGGGGCCGGAGCTGGAGAACAATGGCCAGGAGGGCGCGGGCTGGCAGGCGTCCACCCTGTGCGTGCCGAGGGCGGGCTGCGCTGCCCTTTGGACGGCCCCACACCCGACTCCCCGCGTCCGGCGAGGTGGAGTCGCCTCCCGGGGGCCCGGGAGTGGCCGCGGGCCCCGCGGAGGTTCCCGGATCTCAGCGTCGGCGCCGCGACGTCCTTGTCTCTCTTCTGGGGACCGGGAGGGGGTTCCCGGGGAAGGAGGGGAAAGCAGAGGCCGCCATCTTGCTTCCGGGGGGCAGCCGCTTCTCCCTGGCTGTCCTAGGGTGGAGGCCGCTCTGTCCTGTGGCCGGGGTTTCCCAAAGGGGAGCTGGCGACGTGGCTCGTCGCGGGCCGAATCCTTGGAGATGGTTTGGTCAGTCTCCTGGCCTGGCTGGAGGGTTTCGGTACCTGCGCTGGGCCTCATATCTAACTGCTGATCCCTGGAGAACTCGCCCCCCGCGGATGGTCTGTGATCTTTTGCTGAGAGCACTTGAACCCCCTGGACACCGCAGGTCTGGTGTCTGGTGTGGCGCTGAGATCAAACGTCGGCCCCGTGTTGTGATTTGGTAGCTTAAGTTAGAAGTAGTTCCACTAAATCTGTTGCTTTATTTGAATCCTTCCACAGGTTCGAAATAGATCTTTTGCCTAACATCCGTTAGCAAATAGAGTCTTATCTCCTGCCATTTATTTATTACCTTTTCTCCACCCCCTCCCCACCCCTATTGAGTACCCACTCCCTGTTTTGCACACCTCGTTCAAGGAATGCCTAGTCTGATGCGCAGACATAAAAGCAAATAATTATGATTGAAAGTGTATATATCAAGGTGTACAGAGGAAAGAATAGATGACCACTAACTGTGTTAGAGTTTCAAGATAAGGGATTTCCCAGCACAAACAAGAGATGGGATGGCAAATCCAGATCTTAACAAAAAAGACATGCAGCCCGTGGACAGATGATACGTGTTTAGAAGTCTGAGTAGTAATTACAGGGTTTAAAGTTCAAGCCTGGGTTACTGAAAAAAGATGAGTCCGGAGAAGCATATAGGAACCAAATCGTGAACTGTGTTTCATGTCTTGGTGAGGCCATGGATAGAGGAATGAGCCTGGATAGATTTACAATTTAGGCTGTTGGTGGAGGATGTTAGTTGAGGGGAGGAGTAGGGCAGGAGGGCTTGTAGACAAGGGACGTTACAGAAATCCAGAGAAAGGATAAGGACCATTATGTGAATGGTAGTTGGCATCCAAAAAACATGGATTCCTAAAATATCAGGATGCCAGATCAACTGAATGTAAATGTAATTGCTGAGGGCAGATTCTGGGTAAGGGAACGGAAGTAGCAATAATGATTCCTTGTTTTGGTTTGGGGGGGAGGGTAAAGTTGTAAAAAGGAGATAGTGAATGGCTGGACTCCGGCAGGGGATGTGGAAAAGTGCCATTTGGGACCTGGTGAGTGAAGTACCAGCGGTGCAGTCCAATGGCAGTTGCTACATGGGTCTGGAAGCTCTGAGGGAGATTCTGGGCTGAAGTTAAAAACATCACAGGCTTTGTATCACCACATCCAAGCCCACTGCAGTCTCCCTTTATTGAGCACAGTTTCAAAACCACTTCTTTCATGCTACCTTTTCTTGGGCAAATTGCTGAAATAGAACATTTTTAAAATCCCCCATGCTAATACTCAAATGTTTAATGTTCTTGTAAGGACCAGAAAGGTCAGGCTTACAAGAAACTGAATATGACGATGGTACCTAGTATAGCGTTACAAACTCAAGAGATGAAGTATCATGATTGATTTCACAATTTTTTTTAACATTTAATCATTGACAATAGTTTATTTACATATTTACTTTTGACATTAGCTTATTTAAAGTGGCCACAGACTAAGGACTGAGGATGATAGGTTGCACAAATACCTGTTGAATGGAGAATTAGAAGAAGGATGACTTCAAGAAGAGTGAGCAGTGGGAACACAATGAAAGACAACCACAAGTTCATTAGTCAGCCTGTCTCAGCTGCTTTTTGGTTGTTCATAGCCATGCTAACCTAGCTGAAAGCAGTCAGAAATAGAATGGATTATTTTGAGCCAAGGCTTCAGAAAGCTACAAATAACAAAAGCCCTATAAATAATAGCTACAGCGGCAAACCAGAGACTAATTATTAGTTTTTACTCAGCATTTTTGAACATAAAAAATGAGGAACTCTCACCTTTAGTTCTTAGATTATTCAAATACATTATTCTCAGTCTTTCTAGAGTAGAAATACATGTAGGTGTTTTAAACAACTGTATAATGGCTACCATAGTGAACTGGAAATGAGAACAATGACCTCAAGTCCCATTTTTGTTCTTTGCTCACCATATGACCCTAGCAAAGTCACTTAACCTCTCCCTGCCCTAGTTTTTGACTGTAAAATAGAAATAATCATAGCCTTCTACTGGCCTGCCTCTCAGAGATATAAGAAATAACAAATTAATACTTTAAAAGCTCTTTGAGGTACTTGGATGAAAGGGTATAATTGTAACTACATATTATTAATAATTAGCACTAATATCCTGAAGAACTCATGAGCATTCCTAAATTTGTTGCCTGAACAACTCAACATGAAGGATTCTGTTTTTGAAATGGGTTTCGATTAAAAAAAAAAATAGGGTTAGATTTCTTTTTGACTTATGAGTTTAATTTTTATTATTTATGATCAAACCTTATGTGTTAATATAGTATGAGTAAAAAGTAAAAGAAATTTTAGTAACTACAGTCCTAGATTCACTGCTGTTATAGCTAATATATGCTTTGGGAGGATGTATAGGTATGCTTTTGTCAGAATCTTGTTTAGAAATAAATGATTAGTTTACTGCAGTCATTTAACTGGAATTTTCTTTGAAAGCATTACTCATGTCCCTATAGAATAATAAGAATTTGACATGCAATTCCATGGTTGTCTGAAACATGAAACATTCCTGTGAATCTTCTGTCATTTCCATCATTATTTAATCAGAAATACAAAATAAAATGTATAGGCCTGTGAACTTTTGTCCAATGTCTATCCTTAAAGTAGGTGAAATTTTGCCCATTAGATTAGTGGCTTCGGTATTTTTTTTGAAAGGTATATGCATATGTAAACACATTTAAACATATTCATGGCAATATAATGTGCACATTTTATGCACACATTCATTATCTGCCAATTCATGAAAATGTTAATGTACAATAAGTACAGGTATAGGAACAACTGTTAACAACAAAAGCTTCTTAGAAGGGTGTATTGGCCAGATAAGAAAGCAGTTGGTTATTAGCAATTTGTCACTATTGATGGGAAAGAAACTCAGAATACATGTTTATCATTAGTAGAGTTATGAATGCTGTCTATAGTACTCATGACACCATAACATATTATTTCATTTTGTTTTCACAATAACTTTGTGAGGCTCGCATTGTTCAAAAAAATAGGCTCAGAGGCTTAAAGACTTGCTACAAATTGTCAAGTAGCAGAGTCAAAGTCAAATTTTTGAGATTTGCAAATGCACTGTTCCCTGTAGGACTTTATACCATGGTTACCAGCTTGATATGACAGTTATGCCAGAATATATTTAGAATAGGGACATTTCTGGCTTAAGATTGCTTGCCTGCAGAATCTAAAATTCAGCCAAACTTAAAATTTTAAAACTTAAACTGCTATTCTTGTGTTTATGGCTGTGTCTTCACCAAAAAGGCAGGAACTTTGTTTTATTCATCTTTGTCTTCTTTATGATGTCAGGCATAAATACTCAAAAGCATTTTAGGGATGAAAATAAAAAGTATCTTGTGATGATCCATTGAATACTTAAAGAAAAAAACCCATATTTATAATCACCTCGGAAACTTTTAGGGGTGTATTTGTGTGTGTGTGTGTGTGTGTGTGTGTGTGTGTGTGTGTGCACGTTTTCCACACATTGAGGAAAAGATCATTTGTTTTGGTTTGCTTTATAATTTAACTTAGTGAGGCCATTGCCTCAGTTTCCTCCTTCACTTTTATTGGCATCAGGCCTTGGAGGGGTAGGCTTATACAGGTACCATAGATGACAGTCACTTGTGTGATACCGTTTCTAATATTTTTGCTTAAATATTCAAAGTAGCCCCCCCCCCCTTTTTTGTGGCCACTCTGGTGAGAATGTATAAGGAACAGAGGTCTGACAATTTAGGCCTTTATTATAATTCTTCATGTCCACCCTTGTGGACCACATATTTCCATACTTCTGTCAGGAAATTAGAGGATAAGACTGAAATCAGTTGTCCCCAAGTGTCACTACTCCTCAGAGTCACCTGTACAGCTTTAAAGGGAAATCCCACTCCAAACAAAGTCAGTTAGAAAGTCTTGGGTGATCCCTTATGTATATAGTTACATAAATAAAAATATAACTGGGTAGCATAGTCTGTTAAGCATCTGGCTCTTGGTTTCACCTCAGGTCATGATCTCATGGTTCATGGGTTCAAGCCCTACATTAGGATCCACAGCTGGCAGCGTGAAGCCTGCTTGGGTATTCTCTATCTGCCTCTCCCCTGCTTGCACTGTCTTTGTCTCTCAAAGTAAAGTTTATTTCATCTATCTATATCTATCTATCTATCTATCTATCTATCTATCTATCTATCTATCTAGCAAATATAAACTATTACACCCTCCTTTGAATTCTGATCATCAGTCAGGTTGGGGAAGCTCTGGTTTCAGTAACTTATCCCAGGTCACCAGAACCATAAATAGAGCCAGAAACAAATTCAAATCTTACAAGTCTAAGTTAAATATCTTTTCACTGGGCTTTTCTGTATTTTTACTGACTACATATGATGGGGTAGGAGAGAAAAATAGCAATTTTAGTTTTTTAAATTATTATTTGTCATATTCTGTTACATGGTTTTAAGATTAAATGAGTGAATACC